ATATATATTATATATATATATATATTATATATATATATATAGTATAGTATAGATATGTTGATTATACTATGATATTAGGAAAACGATTCGGTTTAAGAACCTCTCGAACGATATTTCTCTCTCTCTCTAGCAATTGTGAACATGTGTAGGCCGGTATCACGATCAGAAATTACATATGGCAGTACAATGGCATTAGCAAATTTTGTGAAATTAAATTTATATGTGTACTTGTGTAGATTTACATTGATATTTGATGATTGTCAGCTGAAGATTGGAGGCGACCTGCGGTGCATGCATCATATTGGTGTTGACTTGTGCAGACTGCAGACGTGCAGACTGCAGATCGAGTATGTCTAGCATTTAGGTAAGAGTACATTTTTTCAATGGTCACTCGTAAGATTGTTGTTTGGTGCTCTGATGAACTGTTCCCATCTCTCACCCTGTTGATCGCATTGTGTGTGTGTTGCTGTTGTTGTTGTTGTTGTTGTTGTTTTGCGTGCGTGCGTGCGTGCGTGCATGTGTCGAGTATAGCTAGATGCTACATCCCCGATTGATGGTACTGAAAACTAATAAAAATGCGACAGACTGTAACAATTGGACAAAATTCCTGAACTGAAGCAAACATAGGGATAACTCAAAACGATAACTTCTGAAATATTCTATATATTTAACTCGTGCTGTATCTTGTAAAATCTTATCGAACAAAGCTTTACAAAGAAATAATATAGATTCGTCATTTTTTCATTTTCAAGCTGTCTTACTTCAATGCTTTACAATTAATACTTCGCCAAATTTGTGCCGATATGGGTCTTACCTTCAATGAACTACAATCGGGCATCAATTAACTACCACGTTCGATAAATTGTCTATACTTGAAAACAGCAAAAAGACGGCCGGACGAACAATGCGACGAATATTGATCAGCAAACAGATTAACAAAAAATTCTGAAAACATTTATGATATTCTAATCTCTATATAATATAATCTTGTACGGAATCTTATAGAAGCAAGCGTTACAAGAAAGATAGAAGTTTTACTTATATTCATTTCCAAGCCATATATTATCTTGTAAAATCTAAACAGTAATGCGATGTTTATTACGGCGTATGGTACTTACAATCAAAGCGCATCGGTGAGTTGGCGCGAAAACGACCAAGAATATGGGTGCAATTCAGCCGGTATTGATATAGCTTCACGTCATACTAGCTACATCGCAGCGACCGCCTATTTATTCAAGATTAATGTACAAAAAATAAATGCTACGGACGCTAAATTATATAGTATCTATTCGCGTATCTGAGTATCTTACGTTTTATTGATATACTTCCATGAGTATATTCTGTACATGTACGCTGCAGTATGTGATGCTTTTGTGGTTGCAGCTTTTTAATTCATTTCCTTTGTCTTTTTCTATGCTCTCTCTATATGTACTTCCTGTGTTTCATGCTTGATCAGTGTACGCATTAGAATTAGTAATATCTCGCCTTGTATTCTCTGAAAGGGCAAATATGTTAATCATAGTTCGACCATAATCCCGCCTGATTTCTTTCCAGCTCAGGATATGCGTCTGTTATTATTATCATGAATGCACAAAAAATAACGGTTTAAATACGATCATTGCGGCGGCATAGATGTTTTAACGGGGAAGGTTTTTACTTGTTAAACGAAACTAGATTTCTCCGCTGTATTTCTTTCCTCACAAATTTTGACGTGATGATAAAAACGTGCAGTGCTAGAATATTGCGACGATATGTGTAGGGCATATATACAACCCTTTTAACCACTGTTTATCGAAACCAATATTCGTTAAATATATAGGACTTGTTGGAGAATAAGATATTCGTTAGTGCTTCTTGGTTTCCCTGTCAGAAAATGCGTTATTTTCGGCCAAACGAAGGAAGCAATTTACTTTCGTATTATGCTTTAGGATGTCGTTTACGCTGATAATTACACTATAAAATAACTATGAGAAGCACCGTGTACGTAGAACGGGTTTTATTTGAATATTGTGAATAAACTGTACATAGCGTTCCTTTCTTCCCTTCCCCTTAACTTTTTTCACATTCAAGAAGCGCCACGCACGCACGCACGGCACGCACGCACGCACGCACCGCGCACGGCACGCACGTACGCACCGACACGTCACGCACGCACACGCACGCCCACGCCAGCGCACCACACACACAACACACACACACACGAACACACACACACACACACCACACACAGGCACAGCACACACACACACACACACACACACCACACGCGCGCGCTGCGCGCGGCGCGTGTGTATAATAATATATACGCGTTGTATTTTATGTCTACAGAACTGATTAATGGCAAGACTTCCCAATTACTCCTTTAATGCATTGATTTATGTGGCGATGATGATTGCCTATTGCACGACAGTTAATTTGTGATTATTGCCACTGACAGTGCATGATCAGTCATTTGGAATGTAAAACCATGCGACAGAGATAAAGTTTCTAGCTGTTGNGGCGGCGGCGGCGGTGGCTGGACAGACATAAAACCATAGTATCCCCGCCAACTTCGTCGCAGGGGATACAACTACCCGTACAGACAGTTTATCACATGATTTTACAATTATATTTACTAGAAAATACTTTATTCTTACCTCCTGTGCGCGATGCCAAGTGTTTCTCTATTTCATCGAATAATATCTCTAGGTTATCCAATGCCTTGACAACTTCAACTTCGTTCATCACTTGGGCGCGAAGGTCAGCCACCTGCCGACATGAATCACACGCCAGTTTTAATCATGACGAGAGTTATTAACAACAGGTGACTGCAACAGTTAAGATGAAGAAAAGCAAGTGTTCTCTAATCTCTATTGATATATACGTCAGTGCGTCGATCGAATTGCTGATACCAATCGTAATCACTAGTGGAAATGACACATCGGATGGTGCATCCCGATGCTTTTATATATATACAGGGGCGTAAATCCGTACTGAGAAGTGAGGGGGGAGATGATCGGCGATAAACGGGGGCG